TCCTTGCTGTCCACAGTGGTGCTGGAGCCCATCCACCGGGGAGCCCCCGTGTCTGGCTCCTTCTCGGAGAACTCTCTTTGGTGGCGGCCATAGATCTGCGCAGAGAGACAATGGACGCTGTACATCTCACTGAAGAGAAGAGTGACCAGATGGGGGAGCAGTAGGGCGCGTGGACCCAGAGCAATGAGAATGGCCTTCCAGCTCCTGGGCGCTGAGGGCCGCACGAGGAGCTTGCCACAGTCGTCGCGTCCCTCAGCACCTGTTTGTCTGTGTCCCCTCCCACTCACCCACTGCCCACCCAACCTGCCCATCCTCCACTGCACTCGTCCTGGTTGCAGGCGCCTTTGTCCCTGTGGCATTCCCCTGAGCCAGCAGCCAAGAGCAGCTGAGACAGCCATCACCACCGTGGGCCATGCCCTTGTCCCCAGCACTGAGTAGCCCCCAGGTCCTGGCGTGGATGGCGAGGACAGGCCAGCCCAGCCAACAGAGACCTCAGGCTGTCCATGGGTGCCCGCACACAGACAGGACAGCCTGACGGGCAGGCACGGCTTCTCCCTGACAGGAACCCATCCCGGCTGGGTCAGCCTGGTGGGTCCGGACTCATCTTCACTCGAGGAGGCCTGGAGGCTCGAATTGCACCACAGTGTGTGCAGCTCAGCCGAGGCCCCGGCCCCCCCGACCGTGCTGGTTGTCTTCTGTGACCAAGGGAACAAGGGAAGCTGGTCTCTCTCCATGTCACCAGGAGCCCAGCACATGTCCACCATGGGTCTCTTCCCTTAGGCCAGGCTGGTGGCCATGAGGAGAGGCCGCATCCTGTCACACCCTGGACAGGAGGACCCGGAAGAACAGTCTGGGTGCTGGTTTGGGACTGAATGACCCCACCAGGCAGTCTGGGGGTGGTGTGCTGGTTATGTTTGTGTGTCAGCTTGGCCGGGCCTGGTTGCGTGGCTGGGCAGCTGGTGGTAGTTATTCCCCAGGATGAGACTGGCAATCAGCTCCATGGTGGGATCTACCACAAGCAGCTGGGTAGCTGCCTTTGGGAATGTGGTCTGCTTCCTGTATTTAAGGACAAGGCTTGGGAATGGTCTCTAGCCTATGGCACGCTTGGACCCTGTACGTAGCTGTGTCATTGCTCAGCAGCCTGGCATGCTCTGCCAACCTTGGGACTTGCAGTGGACTTAAATTAATGGCCTGCTGTGTGGTTTGGCAACATCGGGACTGTGCCTTTTTACTTGTCAACCTTGGGGCTTCTCAGCCTCAGCAGCCAGCTACTGTCTGAGTGAAGAAACGCCTCTAGCTCCAGTGGGCCGGGAGCAGGAGGCAGAGCTGAAGCCCAGGGCTGAGGGGCTTTCACCCAGCCCCTAGAGCCTGGCACTTTGAACTTGGACTTAAAGCCTCCAAATTATAAGAATAAACGCCTGTTTATTAAGGCCATCCTGTTTGTGGTATATTCCTGTCAGAGCAGCACTAGGGAACGAGAACAGGTGGGGATGAGAGGAGACGCAGGGCTACCGGGCCAGACTTTCCACTCCTGTTTAAAGTGACCACCCTAGAAGGAAAAGCAGACTCAACTGTTTTCAAGACCCTGTGGGAAGCAGTGCAGCTTATCCCCAAATGAATTCACCTCCCCAAGCTCCATTCTCCGTGGGAGGGCTACCCTGTCCCCCAAAGTGCCACAGCTGTACTGTACCCGAGTTGTCCCGCCCAGGGTGACACAGACATCGAGAGGAACCCC